CACTGGCAAGAAAACGGCTCAGGTCTGTTAAACGATTTTAAAGATTAACTCATGTGATGAAGCCGGCTGAAGCAGCAAAGTTTCTGATTTCTTATTAGGAAGGTGCGCCGTTCGAATCTCGAGAGGGAGGCGGAAAATCCTGTGTCGCGTCGGGTAGATTACTGCTAGCCGTCGTCAGGATAATCACTCCTGGTTCCAAGTCCTGCAGGACTCATGACCATATTTTAGTGTCTCGCGACTGTGGGATTTATTTAGCTTTCGTCACTTCGTTCAGTCCCTCAAGAGCGAATGTTGGGATAATAATTTAGAGCAGGCCACGATCGTTTCCTTGCAGATCCTTATTGCTTAAATTCTTCCGAACATATGACGTATGTTGTCTCAGATAGTGTGTGTGTGTGTGTGGTGTCGTTAAATAACCTGCTAATCCAGACGTTAAAAAGCAATCAAGAAAGAGACAGCAAGAAGTTTTGGAAACAACTAAGCTCCTATTTTCTTTTGATAAGAAATAGACCGCATATGAAACTAAAAATATATCGGCGAGCAAACAGACATACAGACAGCAAGCCGATCTCATAAACCTCCAAAAACATTGGGTGGGTGAGATACAAAAAGATAAAAACAGACGGACAGACAGCAAGATGATGTCATAAGCGTCCTTTTATTTTTTAAAATAAGGAAAGTACACTAAGAAACAAGGAAAACAAACTACAAAAGAAACAAAGAAAAGAAGAAATAAAGAATTATACAGAAGTTAAAGTGAACTGACATGGAAACAACGGTTTTTTAACTAAGTATTAAATAACTCCATAGAGCAAAGAACGTCTTAAGAAAATAAAAGATGAGGCCGCTTCGCCCCTGGGCGTACACTGGCCCCAAAACCCGCCTGGGTCACAATGGTGGAGAAAATGACTACTGCCGGGGATCAAACCTCGATCCAGCGTGTAGCCGATGACTATACTAACCACCTACAATAAAAATTCGCTTAGGGGGGCGGGAGTCCAACTGGGCCCACTCTGCACGGCGGCCACTTATTGGCCTATTGTAGCCTGCCCCGGGTGATTATGATGATGGAGAATTTGGTGGAATGAAGATTGGTAGGGGAAACCGAAGTACTCGGAGAAAACCCGCCCCAGCGCCACTTTGTCTACCACAGATACCACATGACCAGACTCGGGATCGAACCCGGGCCGCCGCGGTGGGAAGACAGCGACTAACCGCTTGAGATATGGCGCGGCCAACCACCTGCAATAACTTGTTTGTTGGTCGAGTACATTTTACAGGCTTATTAGATAACATGTCTCTGACATTAAGGGAGGAACATAGACTGAGGGTGTTTGAGAACAGGGTGTTGAGGAGAATATTTGGACCGAAGAGGGATGAAGTGATAGGAGGTTGGAGAAAAACTGCATAATGAGGAACTTCATAACTTGTACTCTTCTCCAAGTATAATTAGAATGATCAAGCAAAGGAGGATGAGATTGGCAGGGCATGTAACGCGAATGGGGGAGAAGAGGAATGCATATAGGATTTTAGTGGGAAAGCCAGAAGGAAAGAGATCACTGGGAAGACCATGGCGTAGGTGGTTGGACAATATTAAAATGGATCTTAGAGAGATAAGATAGGATGTTATGGATTAGATTGATCTGGCTCAGGATAGAGACCAGTGGAGGGCTCTTGTGAACACGGTAATGAACCTTCGGGTTCCATAAAATGCTGGGAAATTGAGTAGCTGCAGGATTTGCGGCTCCTCAAGAAGGGCTCAGCTCCATAAATAAGTAATTTGATACATTTAACGGGGACTATTGCAGTTAAATTATCAAATTGTGAATCCTATTTGTAAGTAAATTAAATTTGATCGTTTATAACACTCTTTTTAAGAGAGCAGAGAGCGGTGGAGTGCCAAGTGCCAAGGGGGGGGGGGGATGTGGTGATGTGCGTTCATTAATCATAATTTGGACAGAGAAGTAAACAAAGGAGAAGTGAGCTGTGTAGAAGCAGGCTTAATGAAATAGCACTCAGCCATTGTAGCTAATGTTGTAGCCACATTAGCTAGGTCATTTCCTGACGGCGACTAGTGATGACTGATTATTGTGTATTGTTCCCGTAACATAAGCTACAGTTTATGTGATTATGCGCGTCATCTCACGCAAAACAAATGCAACTTACCGAATCATGTTCATGGCTTATAACTTACATCAAATAAAATTAATTAACATCTAACGCTCTAGTCTCTTCTGATCATTACACTGTAGCGTGTATAGCCGTTGCTATGCAACGGCCACGAGATGTCTGATATATCAGGGCTGTTTCTGGGAAACGGCTCGGCTCGGTAAACACATTCCTGTTGCTAGACAGCAGATTTGTAATAATGAAATATTTGGACTACAATGATAAAGCTGTGTTTTCTACGTGGTCCGTGCCGAGATGTTATAAGAAAGGGACAAAGCCAGTTGATAGTTCAGTTCTGTATGGAAGTCGGTGAAGACAGGACTTAAGAGCGTGAAGCTAAAGAATTTTCACTGTTTGAAGCCGTTGCCAAGGAACGGCCTGTGAAGTCACAGCAGGCTGGAAAAGGCTTAGCGGGTGCTGTCGTAATTTGCGAATTGTGGCGCTGTAATCTCTTGTAGTTCCGAGTCCTGTGTATGTGTGTTCAATAAATCCATTCACCAATAAAACCCCGTCTATCGTCACACACAATACGTGATAATACTTAGGGGTTGGCCTACGTTTACAAGCATCCGTATAGATACTGAAGTGCAAGGCGTACTTTGCTGCAGTTGTATAAAAACAAGACAAAGGTGCTGTGTGCTGAATTAATGGCCGAGTGGAGGTGTAGATCCATGTATTCTTGACTTTGATACTAGTTGGAGGTGAGTGGTCAGCTTTGAACCCCGACCGCTTTACTCCCGGGGAAAAAGCCCCCTTTACCCTTTGGATAGGAGGTTGGGTGGACCCCAGAGCCGGTCTGGAATGTTGTTATGCACATTAGCAGTAAATATAACAATTTTCCGAAGGAACTTGTGGCCTCCATATTCTCTGAAGAGAGACGCAGCATTTCCTCCGAAATATCGCGTAACATCCACGTAAACCATAATCTAAAGTTTCTATCCACCATTTCTTCTCGACTGGATCAAGGTAATAATATCTGTTGAAGGGTAGTTCCATAAACTGTATAAACTGTATCACTTTCCCCACCCACCTGTTACCTCCTTCCTCTCAAGTACAATTATCTTCAAGGGTAATAACATTTGAAATGTGACGCTGTGTGGCCTGGTAGTAATTAACTGACGTTTCGGAGGAAATTACGACCTCCATCTTCAGGGTTGTTTAGTTAGCCAAGCATAAAAATGACTGCTTTGTCACTTGCTGCTTCCTAGCTAGGCTCACACTTTGACCTCCGAAAATTCGGTAGTCTGAGTCTTATGTTACGACCGAAGGTCATTCGGGTTTGTTGATTTGAGGCGCTTTCTCTGCCGAGAGGACGTGTCTGTCGTTTACAATTACATCGTAGTGCTGGCACTCGGCAACCCCGTCATTTTTGAGTCCGAGTCCCGTGGGACTCGCGACCATATTCTGCTGTCTCAGATTCGCGACTTCCATTTTCGTCGCCTCGTATGACTCGCAAGGCTACGGTGGAGGTATTCGACACCGCCTCCACCGAACCGCACAGAAAACACCAATTCCAACTGTTATATTGTTGGGTGACGTCGCTATCCTCGCCGACCGGAAAGAAAATACCGTGTCTGTTGCGTGTACAATTGTTGTTAGTTGACGAGTTGTTTACTGTGCCGTAACCTAGTAACGACTCTCCCTTCTGTTATATTGTCACAATACAGTACCTCATACGGAGAGCTGGGGTTCGTTTCTCGGCATAGGCAAGATATCTTTCTCTGCTTTATAGTGTCCAGACCGGCTCTGGGGCCCACCCAGCTTCTCACCCAATGACTACCCATGGCTCATTCCCCGGAAATAAAGCGTCAGAGTCATGTAACTGACCACTCACCTCCATCTAGTGCTGAGGTCAAGAATGGTGGAGCTTTCCCTCCAACATCCCCATACGTATTCATGGCATAGTGTTTAATTAATTAACAGATGGACAATTTTACGGTACCTAGGAAATAACCTAGGTGTTCTGTGAAATAGCCGGTCACAAAGGCCGCGCGGTCTAAGGCATAAACTGTCTTCGCTCGCTCGAACGCTGGAATCGTGGCTTCGAGTCCCACCCAAGTTATGGAAATCTGTGTGCGTTTATTCTGTCCGTGCAACTACATAAACTTAGTAGGGGCTACGCTCAGGTCCGCTCTAAAACATATAACTTGCATAACCAGAGAAATGCAACAAATAACCAACAGATCGCACCCCACAACATAGCGGGAAATACATAAATGTAACAACGCCATTCAGCATACCAACGTGTCTGCTGAAGTTCGCACGCAACCTAACACAACTTCTATCTTGATATTTTAAATATAAATTTTTATGGTTATGTTTTCATATCATTTATATCATATATCATTTAATATTTTACTCATTTTTATTATTTTTTACCTTTTTAAATATTGTGAATATATTCCCAAGATATATTTGCTACAACACATCAATCTGTTAACAAATACAGATCCGTATTTTACCCAATGCGTTTAATTACTTGAGATATGTTCATTTAAGGCCTGATGATGACCAAACTGTGGTCGAAACATGTAGCATAGTTATATTTGTATATCTCCATTGACGATATTTCCATTCCATTCGTTGTATTGTTTTGACGATTATAATACAAATAAGAATCAAACGTTTATTCTGTGCAGGTAGCGGCTTTGTGTCGGGCTGATCCCCCGTCCAAGGAGTCGCACCGTCTGTATAAAAATGATAACGAAACTGAAGAATAGGCCAGAGCCCAACAAAGGGCTGCAGAGCGATTAATGAATGAATGAAATGAATGAATGATGAATGATGAATGGGGTCAGACATTTATCGATAACGTATCTACCGCGTTTCAGAGAAGTTCGTGGAGACGACAACTACGTCTTCGTCCGTGGCGAGTAGCTCTCCTGAGCCGACGACGCCACGACCAAGCAAAGAAGATGAACTAGAAGAAGAGGGTCGTGAGAGTCCTCCAGAGATATCGTCGTCTACGTCAGACTGCAGCGCGGGACATTCGGGCGGTCGAGGAGGCAAAAAGTCGCCCCCAACGTCACCATCGCCGCCAAAGAATCCGCTGCTACAGGAACGCTTCAGCTGCGAGGAACTGCGCCATGTTGTCTGTCACCTCGAGACCAAGGACTTGTGGGACAAGTTCAATGAGCTGGGCACCGAAATGATCATCACAAAATCAGGAAGGTCAGTGCATTAATTCTCTTCTACAGATGAGATCTAAAAGTTTGTGACGATGGTAAATGGGTACAAATATTGCATTTCCGGACATCTAAAAGACCATTCTGTATTTATTTAGAAATGCAACTTTTTGGAGACTGCATTCTATCTCCGTCTTCAGGTAAAACCTACTCAGTTGATAGTTCTCTGATGCAAGTCCTCATACGTGTTGAGGGTTTAATATTGTAATGTTTTGTCTTAGCTCTCGCAGATGGTTTGTGCCGTGCTTGGCTTGTATACCCTATCTTGGTGCTGGTACAGGTGTCCGGAGATAGGGACTAGCTCTTATCGATTAGGCACAACTGAATACGTTTTACCCGAAGACGGAGACAGAATCCGGACTCCGAAACTTCGTGTTTTCAAAAATAATCATGACGGATTTTAGATAGAGACAAGACAATGGATAATGTTCAGAAACGAAATATTTGTATCTATTCTACAGTATTAGCCTTTTAGATAAGTGGTTACTATATATACCACCTCCTTTAACATATTAAAACTCTGCTTTCTGCCCACATAGTGTATCTGTGTGTTCCGTATGGTTCTCACATTAAACACTGACTGTTTACCTAAACAGCATTAACCGGTTTGGTTTTGTAGCGGAGATGTAATGTGTTTTCTGTGAGGTACGAACTGAATTCATATATATTAGGCGGAAGAAATTCAGTCTTTAAAGGATTAATATACTCCTTCGCAACTCAGAACGTAAATTAGTTCTAACCGTAAATTCAGTGCGTAATACTTAACAGAATGACATTCTTGAATATGCTTTCGTTCGATTAAACCCTAATGGAACCGACAATAATTATGGAAAGCCCAGGTAAAGCTCTATGTCAACGCATTTTATGCTTATGGATGAATTATCGCAGAATAATTATGCATCTGTGCAATGGGTTACATACAAATCAAACGCAATGTCACTTGCCGTCCATACGACTTGTAGGGAAAGTGTATGTGAGCATGAGGATACAGACGGCTTCCACAAATGTTCACTTGATGATTCTCAATATTTGATTGAAACACGTCATGATTTTTAAGAAATACAAACAATTAGTGGTTATAAATACTGTACCCACCCATGAGTGTTATATTGACGACTAATCAAACAATACGAAACTTAACACACACGATAGGGTACAAAGTATTATTTTTTGTTTTGTGTTGTATTAGTTGGATGTAGATGTATGTAGGAGGATAATATTAAAATAAATTTTACAGAAAGTAAAAAGGTAAAAGAAAAGAGAACTAAAACTATTTCTGTAACAGGCCGTGGGGGTCCATATGTTTGTGAGACGTCGAGACCCCCAAATTTTCTAAACAGTCCGCTCACAGAAATGCCAGTATTACACGCCGGCCACTCTTTACACCAAGGAAGATTCCTGGTATTCATTTCTGTTAGTGGCTAAGTTGACTCCAGTTTCACAGTGCGATCGGAAGGATTACGTCGATTGAAAAATTCCAATGACCTCATCGGGAACCGAACCCGCGACCTTCCGGATTGTAACACAGTGCCTCAACCAACTATGCTACTGCGTGCCCAGCCCATAGCCAGTCACTATACCGACTGAAGCTCTGATACTAATAGAAGGAAATATATTACATTCAGCATTGCGATAAAAGCGTTACATTTCAAAGGCAGTGAGCCGGTGTTAATGGCAGCTTCAAAGCGAAACAGCCGAGCTGAGTTATAACAAGAAGATCGTGCCAGGCTCCAGCAAAAGTCTTCATTCGCGCAATTATAGCCCACATTTAAGCAGCTGGAACGGACATTACCTCTTCTTGCGTAAGCCAATGGGACTTGCGGGGGCTTTCAAGGCGGTAAGAATTTACATCGTAGTTTCCGACGTTTCGAAGGACCCCGCTGCTTTAATATTCAGGAGAGAAAAGTTCTACATTTATAAGATAGAAATAAAAATATAGGCAACAGATCCTTATAAAATTTCATTAAATACATTTAAAACTACACGGGGTCATAAACCAGAAGAAGAAAGTTCTCTGCACTTGTAGCCTAATGTCGAATTTCATATTCAACACGATAACATCAAATGATCGGCAATCATTGAGACAGACACACCGCGTGAACGACATACGATAGGACGATAATATTAAATTGGATTTTACAAAAGTAGGGTGTGAATATGTGTAAAGTAAAAAGTAAAGCGATCCCTCTACCAGACCGCGAAGGTTGTGAGACTTTGAGGGTCCCACATTATCTAGACAATCGGCTCAAAGGTGGCGGTAAGGCTGTCAGCCTTACGCGCCGGCGTTTTGTACATCCGCAACATGTCTCAGTAGGCCTAAGCGTAGAAAGGATTATGATGATGATGATGATGATGATGACTATTTTAATACAGAGAATCTATTTTCTGTTTACCCTCCTTTACTTATGATTCTACTTGTGGCCAGTTTGTGCATTCTGTGTACACTTTGTCGACGATCGAGCCAATTCTTCAGGATTTATGACAGGAATATTCCTGTTGAGATAAACTTCACGAAACACAGCAAAACAACTGATCAAAATTATTACTCTATGGGTGTGTATGATATATACAGGGGGTCCAAAAAATATACTCACTCTTTGATAGTCAATATCTTTGGAACAATGTGACATGTAGTTACAATTCTTGCGCGGAGAGAGAGAAAGTCATTGTATGTGTTCGAAGTGACCACCATCAGCGGCTAAACAGCGTCGGTGCCGCCGAACTTCTGAGCGAACTACGGCTGTCAGTGTGTCCGGTGTGAAGGCTGTACACGACGCTTCGATGGTTTCTCGTAGCGAGTTCAGTGTAGCTGGCTTTTGTCGATAAACTTCATCCTTCAAGTTTCCCCATAGGTAGAAGTCGAGAGGTGTTAGGTCTGGAGACCGTGGTGGGTACTCAATAGCACCTCTTCGACCTATCCATCGTCCAGGTAGAGTGTCATCCAAGTACGCCCTGACATCTCGGTGGTAGTAAAGTGGAGCACCATCTTGTTGTAGGTAAAATCTCTCATCTAAAAACAGCTCTCGAATGGCAGGGAAAATCGATGCCTGAAGCATATCGAGATACACCACAGCACTGGAAGCTGGACTTGTTACTATCCGTGGTCGCCCAGATCTTTGCTTATGCACATCATGAACAGTACCGTCGGCTTCAAATTCATCCCGAATACGGGTAATTGTTCGACGTGTTGGTGGCTGAGTTCCAAACTCATTCTGCCATTGTTGTACCTCTTTAATGTTTTCGTACTTCCACTACCACTTCAATACAGCCTTGCGTTGCTCAAAGAACAACCTTTCAGCCATTGTTGCTGCTGTTTTCTGCTCGCAGCGTGCACGCGGCACGACATTCACGTGACTCATCTGAATTCGCCATCTGTTGAGAAAACATTACACTACACTACCGTGCAGGAATTGTAATTACATGTCATTTTGTTCCAAAGATATTGACTATCAAAGAGTGAGTATATTTTTTGGACCCCTCTGTATATATATAAACATACACACACACACACACACACACAAACACGTAAATTTTGTAAGCGTGAGTTTTATTATTGTCATTACCCAATTTATAGTCTCATAGCAACGAATTATTTAGAATTAACACGATTCTGTGGGTCACGGACGAATGAAAAATCTTTTCTTTGGTGTATCGTGTCTATTCTCTGAGTGTTGACAATATTTTGACGTGGATATATGAAGTGCAGAATACTATACTAAAGTTATAACTTAGTATTTGTGTGTGTTATTCGTGGGAGATAATGTTAAATGTCGGCCCCGACGTGTCATTCAATAACATGTAATGCTGGAATATATTACCGAAGAGAACAAGGAGGTTTAATAGTACGAAATATTGTAATACAAATAGTTAAAATTCACGTTGAATTTTCAACGGATGTTATACTACGATTAACAGAAAGCACTGACGGTCAGCTCAAATTTCGCGCAGTCTGCTATGTATTCGCAAGGTTCTGGGTTCATATCTCATACACAAACAATTATACTGAGGAATTCATGATCTTTCTCAGTATTTTAAACTAATACTGGAATTTTACCCCCAATGACATCATAATCAATTTCCTCCACTCATCCTATTACTGGACGCTAGACAACCTGTGTGAGGACACGCGGTAGCTTAGTTAATTGAGGCACTATGCTACAAGCCGGAAGGTCGCTGGTTCGATTCCCGATGAGGTTATTTGATTTTTCGATTTACCTAATCCTTCCAGCCGCACTGTGACCCTGAGGTGGACTCAGCCTCTAACAGAAATGAGTACCAGGAATCTTCCTGGGGGTAAAGGGGGACCGGTGCGTAAGGCTGACAACCTTACTGCCCTCTGTGAGCCGATTGTCTAGAGAACATGTGGAAGCCTCGACGTCTCACGACCCTACTGGCCTCCACGTCCTGCTACAAGGATAGCTTTAGATTTCACTGGCAGCGTGCTCAGAAAACCCACATTAGGTAAAACAGCGTAGAAATGAATTTGATTATTTTCCGTCAACAAGAATGTTATTTTTCAGTACATATTTTCCATCTATTATAGGTCAGACAAAAGAGTGAAATCGTCCGTTCACTTAATTATGTAATAAGCACCATATTATGGAAACGTATGGAGGAGTAGAGGTATAGCGCCACCATTCTTGACCTCGGCACTAGGTAGAGGTGAGTGGTTAGATTTATGCTCCTGACGCTGTTACCTCGGGTAAACAGCAGTAGGTACACGTTGAGTAGGAGGCTGGGTGCAGTAGAGAGCATTTTTACCCCAGCCGGGGATCGGTCCCCGAATATCCAGTCCGTAGTCTTGTAGCTACACTGACTGAGCTAGCCCTGCTCCGCCTATTAGACGTAATATACATGGTGTCCCGAAAAGAAAGGTCAATATTTTGGGAGGTCATAATATTTGTCATTCTAAGCACTCCTGGGACACTCTGTATAGCATTATATTGGCTTTCACTCTGTACTAACGGAGCTATAAACAGTTGGTAA